GGCAGAATCCTAATGCGGAGAAACAAGGCGGCGCGCTCTGCAGCTCCCTGGACGCCCACGCACAAAGCCGCCTTTCACCACTTGCTCGAGATGCTTTAAGTCACCTGCCTCATGCAAATGCGCCTCATGTTTATTCACGCAGAGGGTTACAGACCACCTTTCATTCCCTGCGCCAGCTCTGCTCATCAGCAGCCTCTGAGCCGGCCCAGCCTGGAAGGGCCCCCTGAGTATGTAATTGCCCCTGAAATACATGCCCAGAGAGTCAGGGAGCTTGAAGCAGTTTGGCAACGAATATATTTCCTTTTTTAAATTCATGTGATGGCTGCCTTGAAGGTTTCAAACAAGTCCCTTTCTACACTAAAGCATAACCCCCTGGATGTGACTAGTTGGCGCGATGTCCCGTGGACGATCCTCCTGGGGAGGTCTCTGGATGCCTCTCTCCTCTGCACTGCTTTGTCCTCGTGGCGGAGAAGTCCTCCCACCCACTTGGGCAAAGCCTATGGCCTCGCCAGGCCCAGCTCGGCTTTGTACTGTGGGCCTGGGTTCTCCGGTGCCCGGGTCTCCTGTTGGAAGGCAGGGTTCTTACCTGCTAGCCTGAGAGTCTAACCTCCACTGCACTTCGCTTTGTTTATTGTGCTGTCGGGTGAAGTTTAAAATAGTGCTTTTGTTCTAGATTGACTACGTTTTCCAAATCATCAGTCTCTTCTACTTTGGTAATTTGAAAGCATAGCAGAATCACTGGCTCTTGGCTTTTAATGCCGATTTGGACAGCATCTAAAGGAACACCAGTGCTGTGAACAAATGTCTTGATGGTCCCTGGAAGGCTCAGCCATCCCCAGGGAGGTCTGGGCAGCTAGGTAACTGCTGAGGAGGGCTTAACTCCCACCCGCCATTAGGTACATGAGGGGTGTGGAACCTGATGACTTTTAGGCTAATTCCCGTGGCTTGTCACATAGAAAACTAGGGGCCTGATAAGGTTGTTTGGAGGAAAACACCACCAAAACCAATGAAATTTCCAGCTTCAACATAGTTTCTGCTAAAGTTAAATGAGTCATTTAATCCGGTTAACTCCAACTGGGGTACATAACTTTCCCTTTCCTTTTTGTTTGTAACACAACAGCCAAAAAATGTCTTCTTTTGAAAAGTGCAATTTAAAAAAACCTCATAGACACATAGACACAGACCACAGTGTAGTGATGACCAGAGGGAAAGGGGCTGCGGGAGGTAGGAGAGGGTGAAGGGGATCAGTGGTGACGGAAAGAGTCTTGACCCGGGGTGGTGAGCACACAGCACAATGTACAGACGATGTATCATAGAATCATACACCTGAAATCGGTNCTGTGCCCTGCCTGCCTCTGAGATTCAGCTAAGCCCGCTTCCTCCTCACTCAGGAATTGGGCCCAACCGTGGTCAAGATCTCCTTTTGCTGCCAAGCAAAGTTCAATGGATCCCCGTTCAGGGGTATGGAGAAATCTATATTTATAGACATCGGAACAAACTGTCTGGGGAAATGAAAGCAGCTCAGTTATAATGCAAGATGGAGTTCAAATTACTGCCAAGTTAGGTGCGTCTGTTGAGATCAGCACCTCTCACTTGTGTGGGGCAATTTCCAAAGCTACCCTTGGAGGGCCTGATCCTCACAGTGACTCTAGGACATAGCAGTGCTATGATTACTGTTGTTGTTATTGCTGCTACTAGTTTATAGATGAGAAGGGACTTGGCAGCTAAAGGGCATGCTCAAGGTCACACTGCTAGGGAGGGGCCACATGGGACTCTGACCAGGCTCTCCAGGGGCTCTCAGCCTTGGCTCTTTCTCCTTGCCTTGCATGCTCAATGGTGGAGGGGGACAGTGCCCCCAGGTGGTGAAAATTGGTTCTTGGTGGAGGAAACAAAACGGAACTTACTCTTACCTATGTGTAAAGCACAATATGTATACGTATTACACAAAGGGCTAACAGTGTATCTGCGTTAATAAAATTTCAGGGAACGGTGATTAGGGAAACATCTAAAAAAGCTTTCGGGACAGTGGTGATGCACAAGAGTTTGAGAAATTGCGCTCCACTCCTTGGTGACCTCCTTATCGTGGTCACGCACAAGATCCCTGTGATTCCTACATTTATTTTCTGAAAGTGTAAACACTGGGGCGTAGTGGGTAAGATACCAAATGAAAAAATAAGTTACTGGTCCCTTTCTCGGTGTTTCACTGTCCTTCAATAGTATAAATACTGATGAGGACCAGGTAAGAGGCTTTGACTACCTTCCAACTGAAAGTGGCCAGTCCATGAAAAACGGTGGCACTTGGTCAATGAATAGTATAAAAGCACACACACGCCCAGCTGGTGTGACTCAGTGGTTGAGCATCGACCTATGGTCCCGGAGATCTCCGTTTGATTCCCGCTCAGGGCACATGCCTGGGTTGCGGGATCAGCCACCAGTAGGGGGTGTGTAGGAGGCAGCTGATCAAGGACTCTCATCATTGATGTTTCTCTCTCTCCCTCTTCATTCCTCTCTCTGAAATTAAAAAAAATATATTTAAAAAAAAAAGTGCGCGTGCACACACACGAAGCCATCTGCTACCTCTCCAGCAGAAACATCAAAGGACAAAAAATCAATCTATTCAGATGATGCATTTGCTTCTAGAGAAGGTTCGATTTTCTTTAGCCCAATCTGAAGACCTCAGTGCAACAGGACAAGCCTTCAGAATAAAGACCCATAAACAGCCGGGACAGCTGAGAAATGGATAGCCCTGCCGCACGGCAGCAGGGCCTTGAACAGACTTCTCTCCTTAAATATTAATGTTTCAATTACGACGCACACCTACTATATTAGCCACACCGGGCTCCACGCAGATCAACAGCGGTGGCGCTGGGCAGAATCCTAATGCGGAGAAACAAGGCGGCGCGCTCTGCAGCTCCCTGGACGCCCACGCACAAAGCCGCCTTTCACCACTTGCTCGAGATGCTTTAAGTCACCTGCCTCATGCAAATGCGCCTCATGTTTATTCACGCAGAGGGTTACAGACCACCTTTCATTCCCTGCGCCAGCTCTGCTCATCAGCAGCCTCTGAGCCGGCCCAGCCTGGAAGGGCCCCCTGAGTATGTAATTGCCCCTGAAATACATGCCCAGAGAGTCAGGGAGCTTGAAGCAGTTTGGCAACGAATATATTTCCTTTTTTAAATTCATGTGATGGCTGCCTTGAAGGTTTCAAACAAGTCCCTTTCTACACTAAAGCATAACCCCCTGGATGTGACTAGTTGGCGCGATGTCCCGTGGACGATCCTCCTGGGGAGGTCTCTGGATGCCTCTCTCCTCTGCACTGCTTTGTCCTCGTGGCGGAGAAGTCCTCCCACCCACTTGGGCAAAGCCTATGGCCTCGCCAGGCCCAGCTCGGCTTTGTTCTGTGGGCCTGGGTTCTCCGGTGCCCGGGTCTCCTGTTGGAAGGCAGGGTTCTTACCTGCTAGCCTGAGAGTCTAACCTCCACTGCACTTCGCTTTGTTTATTGTGCTGTCGGGTGAAGTTTAAAATAGTGCTTTTGTTCTAGATTGACTACGTTTTCCAAATCATCAGTCTCTTCTACTTTGGTAATTTGAAAGCATAGCAGAATCACTGGCTCTTGGCTTTTAATGCCGATTTGGACAGCATCTAAAGGAACACCAGTGCTGTGAACAAATGTCTTGATGGTCCCTGGAAGGCTCAGCCATCCCCAGGGAGGTCTGGGCAGCTAGGTAACTGCTGAGGAGGGCTTAACTCCCACCCGCCATTAGGTACATGAGGGGTGTGGAACCTGATGACTTTTAGGCTAATTCCCGTGGCTTGTCACATAGAAAACTAGGGGCCTGATAAGGTTGTTTGGAGGAAAACACCACCAAAACCAATGAAATTTCCAGCTTCAACATAGTTTCTGCTAAAGTTAAATGAGTCATTTAATCCGGTTAACTCCAACTGGGGTACATAACTTTCCCTTTCCTTTTTGTTTGTAACACAACAGCCAAAAAATGTCTTCTTTTGAAAAGTGCAATTTAAAAAAACCTCATAGACACATAGACACAGACCACAGTGTAGTGATGACCAGAGGGAAAGGGGCTGCGGGAGGTAGGAGAGGGTGAAGGGGATCAGTGGTGACGGAAAGAGTCTTGACCCGGGGTGGTGAGCACACAGCACAATGTACAGACGATGTATCATAGAATCATACACCTGAAATCGAAGTTTTATCAACCGATCTCACCCCAATAAATTCAATACAATAGTGCAACTTACTTTTCATAGACAGAATCTTCTTATTATGTACAAAAACCCCCACACGATACAACTACAGAGGGCGTTTTACTTCCTCAAACCATTTTTACATTTGTTTTGGGATACTGGGATCCACTTTTTAAAACATTTTTATTTTCAGGCATCTGGCTCCTGAGTAGCAGAGCCAGGATTAGAATGTGGGCCTTGAGGATCGATGGACATGCTCCTTCATCGACGCCTGCAATTCATGCGAGCTGGCTATACGTGATGTGTGTGTCTACGGAAACGGCTCACCCTTAGTGATCGAGTCTACCTTAACAAACATCTTCACTGATAGTTTTAGCAAAAACCCTTTTGACACAGTCAAGGGCTAATTGTCTCAACACATCCATAATCCACAAAGAAACCAAGTGCGCCAGGCCAAGCGGCCTTCCTGACCCCATTCTCTCTGCGGCAGCCACCTACCTGCACAGGTGCAAGGCAGGCGTTTCCTGACAGATCTCACTGTAACAAGGCATCCCAGAGTCACGCTGGCCCCAGCTCAGCAAGCCAGAAGGAACAAAGCTGCTCCAAGCTTGTCCCCAGAAGAGAGCATCACCAACACACAGCTGCATGTCTTTCTTCCTCCTTTCTCAAAGCAACCTGAAACCATAGTTGTCCCCACTCTCCCAATTTGCCAACTGCCTTCCACACAAAGCTAAGGGCCATGCAGAGGCGAGGCTCCTTGCGGGACAAGATGCTGCCCCTCTCCCGGTTCTCCTTACCTTGTTGAAGTCTTCAGAAGTCGCCCTCATCTCCTTCCATGTCTTGTTCAGGAGCTGGATGCAGATGCAGAAGAACTCCTCGAAGGATCTGTCGTGGGTGAAGAACATTGGGTGGAAGTCGTTGCATGTCTCACTGGCTGGAGGAAAGAGAAAGGAAACAGGCGGACATCTGAAAAGTGAAATGAGAGGACGGCCACTTGGGGGTGCTCCAGAGAGATGACAGGAGGCATAGTTGGCTCATGCCATGGGGGAAAGTAGGAATTCTGGGAAGCAACCCAAGAACAATCCCTGCGCAACTTCCAAGTTTAAGGTCAGTTGGTCAGACCTACCCTTAGGCACAATAATTTTTTGACAGAAGGACGTTGATGCCTAAGCCACACCATGACATGAGCCTTAGGCTGTTCCCGGGTCCCCTGTGTGGAGTGTGAGCTCTGTACCTGCCTTCTTCACCTTATAAAGACTCTACAGACCACCCTCTCCTCCAAGCCCCTCTCTCGCCCTTAACCTCAGTCTCTGCAGAACAACCCGCAGACGGTGCGCTTCCCCGAGCACAGTTGATGGCAACTCCGAAAGTGCCCTTGATCGCTTCCCTAGGGGCTCTTGTCCCTCCGTAGGCAGCAAGCAGGGGACGTCTGAGATTATTAGCCATCTGGTGCCGTTAACCGTTTGCTTTATATTCCCAGGCACAGGTGGCTGGAGGCTAAAGCAATCCAAGTGACTTTCAAGGTCACAGTGGGTCGGATCCTGGACCAAACCGTGAGGCCGGCCAGCCTGCCTGCGAGTCCCCCACCGCAGAGCTTCCTGGGGTCAGGCCCCATGCCCTGAGCTCCAGGGGCAGCCACCTCCCCTGACCAGTGCCCCAGCCCCAGCCTCTGCTCAGCTCTCTGTTCAGGTTACACTCTCATTGCCTTTTCCATGCATCACATTTGATCCTACCACGCCTCTTACTACTCCTGTCTTTTGGGTGAGGACATTGGAGCCCAAGGAACTAGGCTTTGTGACCCCTCAACACAGTACCCTGAGTTTTTAAAAAATAAGCTGTTAAGTACTGTGAAAGAATTCCTATTTTATTTGGAATCTCTTAGAGACCAATTAGACTTTAAGGCTCCAAATGGTGGAGTTTCAAGCCCTAAAAGCCCAGGAAAGGCGGGAGGCAGGGTGGGTTACAGCAGAGGCCTTCTGTGCCTGGGGGAGCCCTGCTGCGGCTATGTGGTTGAATCTCAAGTTCACAGGGCGGGATGGGTTACAGCAGAGACCTTCTGTACTTGGGGGAGCCCTGCTGTAGCCATGGGGTTGAATCTCAAGTCCACTCAGAATCCTCTCGAGCAGGCGGAGGAACCCTGACCAGACCTAAGGGGACACACCCTGCTCCAGCAGGGCCACAAGCTATGATACACCAACCTCTTCTAGCTTCATCCTTTACAAACAGTGAATTCCCGACTTCTGAACAATTTAAAGCATCAGCGAAGCAGCCCGTGTTTGCACAGCTCACCTCTTCTGAGGCAGTCGTGTTTGTACAGCTCACGTGGAACCCCCTGTGAAGACAGGGGAAAGCTGCTTTCTTCCAGACAAGGTCCAGGCGCAGGCTGGCAGCAGCGCCAGTCATGTAGAAAGGGTTAGGGTCTGGGCCGAAGACTTGGGTTCAAGTCCCCGCCATGCCAAGCAAGACCAAGTCATGTCACCTCTCTGAGCCTTGATTTTAACTAAAAAAGTGGAAATAAATCTGTTGGGCTTCTTCCAAGGCCTCAGAGAGGATCACATGATATGAGTCTTGGGAAAGTGCTTTGAAGGGATGAATGTTGACGCAGATACGGAGAGAGGTGGTGGAAGATAATGAATGTTGTGTCAGCCCTGGATCCACATTACTATTTATTACAATGAGCACATGAGGAAGATGTCATCCAAGGCCATGTGGCTTCCAAGGGGCAGAGCTGGAATATAGACTCAGCTCAACGTGGCCCCAGCCCACCACTGCTCTGTCGTATTCGGTTCCTCAATCTGTTTCCCACCTAAGCCCTCCCCTTCCCCCCTCCTCCCAACACGAATCTGAAAGAGTCGCCTTTCTACCCATAGATGATATTTATGAAATAAAATCTGACAAGTGGTACAACTTTAACTATTAATACTTAGGGCATGTTTAGTTTGGGGTTCCTCTCTTTTCTCCCTACTAGTCGTGATCAGAGTGGAGTTAGATTCAAATCACCAGGGCTACTCTCCTCTTCTGGATCCTACTTCACCCTCCCCTCACTCAGGTCAAGCTGCTCTCTTGACAATTCTCCTGAGTATCCAAGAAACAGTCTCCCTGGTTCTAGCTTCTACTGAACTAACTCTTTTACCTTCCTCAAGATATTCTCAGCTCTTCAGCACCCCAAGTTTCCCCAGGTAATCAATCACTGGAGAACAGTATCATTAGATGACTTTATGTGACTTATTTCGAGAAACTAATAGACTGGATTTCTTGTTAATAGAACTCCAATTTTCATTACGACAGAGTGCCCACCTGAAACTACATTTCCCAGCCTCTTGTAAGTAAGAGTGGTCACTATGACAATCCTCACCAACAACAGATGAATGGAAATTGCTGGGGAGCTTCCAGGAAAGGCCTGGCAGTGAGGAATGGACAAACAACAAAGCCAAACAACCTGTCCTTGGCATGTTACACAAGAAACAATGACAAGAAACTGATGTACTTGGGGATTCAGGGCTCCTTGTCTTAAGGTTGTCCCTGTGTTAGAGCCAAGGATGAAGTATTAAATGTTAATGTAATTTTCTTCTAAAACGTTCAAATTGCAGATACCCAGGACTGAGGACTATTGAGCAGGAAGGATCTGTTGAGATGATCTGATCTGTTTCTCTCTCTCTTTTGTAGGTAAGAACAGTGAGAAAGGCAAATGCCAGAAAGGGGCAAAGACGCTGGGGGCCAGATGGGCAGGGTTCAAGTCCAGATTCCATCACCTACTGCTGAGTTACCTGAGCAACTCAATTCATCTGCCAAGGCCTCAGTCTTCTCATCCACAAACTGGGACAACAGTATGAATTTTATCAGGTTGCTGTGAGGACTAAGGGGGTACAGTGACTATAAGAAGTAAGCTCACTGCGGTTGTGAGCCAACAGGATCACTTGGTCACAGTATGTCCAGCGAACCTTGGCCCAGGCCCCTCCCACTGATAAATGTGAACATGCGTCAGCCTAATGGGGTGGCCTCGGTCTCAAGAAGAAGGTCCTTAATTCAGAGGCTTCAACAAACAAACAAAAGCAGGGAAGCTGAGGCTTACTGTTGCTTTTTTTTTTTTTTTTAAATAAAAACATTTAGTGAGAAAAAAATATTAAATGAGCAGGCAATAATTTTACAAATAAAAGAGAGAAATTTTCAATGAGACAAAAATAGTAACACTTTTTTAAAAACAAAATTGTTGTTAAGCACACTGAGATTCTACTTTATAAAAATCAACTTAATGGTCTTTTAAGTCTGGGACGTTTAGGCCTTCTCAGAGCTGAGGGTAAAACAGATTCTTATGACTTACTGACGTCTAACTCATTTATGAATACGTCAGCATCGTGAGCAGCTATAATCCATGCACCTGTGTTTTAAAAATAAAAATAAGGTTGTATGTAGGCTCAGATAGCAAACTGCCTTTCAAATAGATTTCTTCCTCTTTTCCACTGGATGATGTGAGCAGAGGCAGGTGTCCTTACTGGGGTCTCAGAGAACAAGCTCTACAGCACTGAATACAGAGAACAGGTTCTGGTGCTGCCCTGTGACCTTGAAAAGGTCATCTCAGCTCCCTGGGTTGCAAGGTTCTTACCTGTAAATAAGATGGACTGCCAAGGTTCCTGCCAAGTCGAACATTCTAAGACTATACACGCACACACTCACATATGCACACTCACACTTTACTCATCAGATAGGAACTTTCAACTCCCCAGTGCCCATTGATAATTGTAGGAGTTGGAGGCTGCACAGCCCTCACCTTTATTTCCTAAATTAGTATTTCCTTGAATGACAGGATGGCTCCACATTTCATTTCAGGTGTGAAGGCATCAAAGCAGCATTTTTGATAGGCTCAGAAAATGTTTGATGACCTAGTATTTACTCTTACTTTCATTAGAAAATTGTTAGTTGCTTTTACACCCTCCCGACACATTCATATTCCCAAATGCAGACCATTACGTAAGGAAATTACTTGACTAAAGATAGAATGACAAGCTGACAGGCGAAGGCACATAATTTCTGCTCTTTCATGGGAATTTTCCAAGACAAATGTAATTTTCCAGATGCTGAAAAGCCCTCTTCCAAGCTCTCAATGACCCTTGTTATGCTAAGAGACACTGGGAGCCCATTAACAAGTGGCTGGAGGTCCACAGACATGGGAGGCACTAGCAAATTCTGAATATTTTTACCCAAAGAGAGATTAGCAGTAGCCTGACCTAAAGGGCATTTTGCTTTAAAATTCTGAGCTACTGGAAGAAGGGGATACATCACACAGCCACGGAAGTATTCAATACAGGAGAACTGCTGGAGTGACTGTAAAAACTTGTCAGTTATCCGCAGCATGGAAACCCCAATCGGTGCTATTGTGGCCCTAAGGTCAGTGTGGATAATGCGGCGATGATTTCTCAGATGCAAATGTATATTTATACCTTTATACCTTTGCAGAAACTCTTACTCAGTGACCTTGGCATTTTCTACTTCTATTTATTTATGTATTTATTTTTAAATATCTTTTTATTGATTTCAGAGAGAGGAAGGGAGAGGGAGAGATAGAAACATCAGTGATGAGAGTCATTGGTCAGCTGCCCCCTGCACTGGGGATCAAGCCCGNAGGGAGAGTGAGAGAGAGGGGGAGGAGGGAGAGAGAGAGAGAGAGAAAGAGAGAGACATCTATGGGAGAGAGACACATGGATTGGTTGCCTCCTGCACGCACCCCAGCCAGGACCGGGGATCGAGCCTACAACTGAGGTACGTGCCCTTGGCCAGAATCAAANTTTTACCCAAAGAGAGATTAGCAGTAGCCTGACCTAAAGGGCATTTTGCTTTAAAATTCTGAGCTACTGGAAGAAGGGGATACATCACACAGCCACGGAAGTATTCAATACAGGAGAACTGCTGGAGTGACTGTAAAAACTTGTCAGTTAT